ATTGTCTCCGGGAGAACTAGTTTTCTTGCTGCATCTACAAATCAGAAGAGGATTGATCAAGACTGTCCTCTCCTAGGTCAGTGGTTCTCAACCTTACTAATTGCTGCGTTGTTACAAATGGAAAAAAGGGTCTCAAACCACAGGTTGAGAATTGCTGTCCTAGGTCCTTTCTAAGTCTTTCAGAGTTCAGGGTGCAGAAATGAGGTTTTCTCCACTGTAGGGGCAGAGAGGTCCCCACCCTAGTCAATTTGTAGGTTTTGTCCTAGGAGTTTTGCTTAGTGGTGGGAGTTTCAGTACCATGGTCCATTCACAAATATAAAAGCAAAACCAAGAATATGTTATTTTAGGAAGTGGCCTAGTCACTAGGAAATACTATTAAAATTTTTTAATACCAAGACGTAGGGTGGTTAATGAGGGGTGAAATTAGGCTTCTCTATCATAGCCAAGATGATTCTGTTACAACACTTAGCTTGTTACAGATACTTTCTGAGGAGAAATAACACAGTTTTGAAAATAATAAGCCTGTGGAAACTTTAAAGCGGATAAAATCTTATTTTGTTTTATGGAACATGTAGTTTAGAAACAAAATTATGCAGATTTTTTTTTTTTTCATTCAAGAGGTAAAAAGGGTACAAGATAACCAGTAAACTAAGGCTTCCTGGAAACTTAAATTAAGCAGTGGAGCAAGGAATTGTACCTGGACTCATAGTCTAGTGTTAGCCTGAATGGCACTGTGGCCTCATTAAACAGAGAGCCCTTGGAAAGGGGGTCTTTTTCTTGAAGTGTATGATAGCTATTTTGCCAATGGAAAGGGGACACATACTTTCAGATGACTCTGATTTAGGCAAGGAGGACAATGAGTATTAAATCAGATTGTTCTAAGGTAAACCCAGGGCAAGCACTTGGAGGGTAGTTGGATTAAGAAAAAAAACAAGATGTAATTGGTCTGATACATTTTCTCAATGGGCAATGACCCAGCAGCACAGGCTGTTGTATTAACAGTCCTGATGTTTCTGCAAGCAATGCCCTTATTTAGGAAAAGTATGAAATACGGTTTACATCTGAGGGATTCTTTCCCTCACTTGTTCATTCTCTGTTGGAACGCACATCTACCTAAGTTTCAGCTCAATGGAAACTGAACAACCACCTCTATTATTATCTGAGAACAATGTGGTCTTTGTAAAATAAAAAACCCCACATAACTGTAATGTCCTCATACACGCATGCCCAATTGAGAATTAGAAAATTGATTTCTATTATAGGTTCTACCAATAGTATACTAGAAGTTTAAGGAGATTAATTTATTTTTCTGGATCTTAATTTTTCCACCTGTGTTGGGGAGGCTGTTGCCGTTTTGGATGAGACAGTTCTATTGTATGGACTGTGCTGTTCCTTGTAGAACTTACTGTCCTTGCCTCCTGCCCCCCTGAATGCCAGTATGGCTCCCAGTCTCACAATAGCTTCAGAGCATTTTCACACATTTCCAGATAACCATAAGGAAGGGGGGTAAGGGGCAATGGACAGTACATAGTTAAGAACTACTAAGTTAGTTCAATATAAAAAGTACTAAAATTCTGTGGATTGTGCTTTATGTAGCTAACACTACTCCTTAGGATCAGAGAACCTAACCCAGTTCTCTACTGGCTTCCACCTCTTGAGATTTTAAGTCATAGATAATTTTGTCTTCTAAAAATGTTTGGGCTCTACAAGTTGTCTCTTATGACATAATGATATGTTAATAAATGGTAGGAAATATCTACTCGTTCATTTTTAACTTAACCTACACACTGTTGTCTCTGAGTGTGTCCTGTGCACTCCATTCTAATAGATTGCCCAGATATGGATGATCTGTATTTGACCCACTATCCAACTGAATGTAACAATTATGTTTACCTACTCCCTGGGAAACTTTTGCATATACCCGGCCTAGCGTCTATTTATAATCTGTGTGTTTTATGTTGCCTGTAGAAGAGAAAGCTGAAAATACTCAATACTGTAAATATTTTGGTCCCTGTGAGACCTCTGAGTATCTCTAAAAATTTATATTTACCTCCTAGTTTCTGATAGATGTGACATGCCTGTCAGTAATTTTCAGAAAACAGTTTGTTTCTAAATTTTTTTTACTTATAAAAGGCAAAAAAGTCAGTTCTTTTGATTTCATTTTCTTTTATGCTTTTAAAAGATTGGTGGTCTCTAGGATATTATTTCCTTTCCTTGTTTCCAAAATGCTGTTTGAAAATAGAGGAATTTTATTCTTACCCCTCTTTAGAACGTGTCTTAAAATATAGTAGCATAGAGAAAAAGCACATCAAAACCACAGTGAGATGTGACTTCACACTAGAGTGGCTAATTTAAAAAGGGCAGACAATAACAAGTGTCTGGCAAGTACAGAAAAAAATTAGGTTGCATATATTGGTAGAGGATTGAAATAGTGTATCTGCTTTTAAAAAGTTTGGCAGTTCTTCAGAAAAGTTGTCATAGCTAACATGATCCAGCACTTGTACCCTTAGAGAATTGAAAACATGTTCACATAAAAACACAAGTTTCATTCCAGCCAGAAAGATGAAACATCCCAGTGCCCTTCAGCTGATGAAAGGATAAATAAAATGTGCTGTGTCCATACACTGGAATATTATTCAGCAATAAAGAGTTAACTGCTGCGTGCTACGTCGTGCATGAACCATGAAAACCGTATTCTAGGTAAAAGAAGCAATAACAAAAGGCCACATGTATGATTCCATTGATGTGAACTTCCAGAATACATAAGGAAATTAATAGAGACTGTAAGTAGTTTAATGGTTGGGTACGGGGCTTGGAGGAGAAGAGGGAGAATTGGGGAATGACTGCTAATGGATACAGAGCGTCTCTGTACGGTGATGAAGAGATTCGAAAGACAGAGTGGTGAGGGTTGTATTCTGTATTTATGCTAAAAATTACTGACTTGTTAAAGGGTGAATGTTACAGTCTTTGAATTATACCTCAAAGCTATTAAAAATATCTAAAATAGCATGTGATATTCTAGCAGCTTTTAAAATAAGAACGTTGAATTTCCAGTTAAATCAGTATTAAGTATAGGTTAAATAGAAAGTTAAGTTGTAAATAAAATAGACTTCGACATTTAGCAACTTAGCAAGAAAGGACTCAGATCCATTTTTGTGGTATTAAAAAGTAATCTTTTGAGTACATTAGAATAATGAAGCTGCCTCCAGCCTGTGAATATCTTGTCCCCGTCTTTCCCATATACTGTTATGACTAGAAATTTTTGAGTGCAACATGCACAAGAATAGGGAATAGGAATCATTCTATTAAGTGATTTATTGCCCTGTCCTGGACAACTGTAGGGGAGGTAACTGCTTGTTGGAGCACTGAGTTTATTGTGGAAGAAGGCAAGATATCGCTAAGAAATCCAAATAGTTCTTTACTAAAGCCCAACCAAATCATGATCTCAGTGAATTCAAATATAAATGCCTTGGGAACCCCCCACACCTCAGCAGAGCATATACAAGGTTGAACAATTAAGTTTACAACTGTGATCCTAGAAAAAAATGCTACATACCTCAGTGCTGAATAGCACTCTAGTCACGTTGTTCTGTAATGGCCATCAAAGCTGTCATCATATGAGATCTGACAATCAAGCTCATAAACTCATTCTAGAAAAAGTGCTTTGAAGTGCTCGGTAATTCTTGATAATTTGAAAGGAAATTACTTTGCTACACCATATCCCAGCCCCACTATACCATCTGATGTCTTAGGGTTTGCAGGATAAGCATTGCTACCTCCACAAAGAGAAAGACAAAAAGTTAGAATTTGGCTTCCTTGAGTTGATAAAAAGACCTGCAGTGGTTACCAGGTAGTTCAGCTACCACCTGATAGAACTTCAAATCTTAAAAGGATCTAACAGCAGATTATGAAACAGCCCTGGGTATTTACTGTGGGGTCTGTACCTGGGAAAACCTGAAGAGGCACATCCATGCTCCAAACCTCAGGATCTGGATTTTACAACCAGAAACCAAGATAAGGAGGGTGGTGTGGAAAAAGGGAAATGTTTAGTAAAGCAAGATCCAGGTACTGAGATTAATTACACTCCAAGGTCAGAGAGGGATTGGTGATAAATTTGACCTTGGCTTGAGAGTTTCATTGACCTCATCATAACGTCATAAAGGTTAGAAGATTTGTAAGGCCAGGGAGGAGCCCATCAGATTGTCACAGAGGAAAAATGGATTTTTGTACATTTAGATCTTAGTATACCGTGTGTAGTTCTGGTAACAATGATTTACATTCTCTATTAGGATGAGTTGTTAAAACCTTATAACTTCAGCAAAGATCATTTCTCCCCTTAAGCATAGACCCCTGACTGGACTGGGGTTTTACGATCCCCAGGCTCCTTCAAGCTGAAGAGGGTTTTCATTTGGAGTTAGGTATGGAGAAAGGGCAGTCAAAAATCTTACTAGAGTCATTTGGGACTAGAGTCAATTGAAGACCTAGAGTCTTTCAGCTTACTGGGTTGGATCTTATGAAACAGTTGCTACTTTTTTTTTTCCCCTCCAAATTTGCTTTATGTAATTGGGTAGATATAAATTAATAAACAGAAATTTAAACAAGATACATGTAACAATTTAACAGAACCTGGTAATCTAATTTCTTTTAAATTCATCTTGAAGTCTTTCCATCATGGGTTCATAAGGAAATTAACCAACATACAGTTGAATGTCAAATCTTTTTTGTTTTTTTTTGAAACAGCCTCAAGCTTTCCCCCTGGGTAGAGTACTATGGTGTCAAACCGCTCACAGCAATCTCCAGCTCCTGGGCTCAAGCGAGTCTCCACCTCCCAAGTAGCTGGGACCACAGGCGCCCTCCACAATGCTGGGTTATTTTTTGGTTGCAGCTGTCATTGTTGTTTGGCAGGCCTGGGCTGGATTCAAACCCACCACCTTAGGTGTATGTGGCTGGCGCCTTGGCCACTTGAGCCACAGGTGCCAAGCCTGAATGTGTCAAATCTTTACAAAGCGCTATGACATACTAAATTCCTTCACAATGCAATTATGATGAACTCTCAGGATACTTAAATTTTGCATGTAGAAAAGGGTTAGAGTCAGGTATCCAACTCAATATAAAATAATGAGGAGAAACACTTGTGATTTCTTTGTTAGGATGAGACTGCTTCTCCTTTTGCTAATGAATGGCTTTTAGCTGTAATATTACTGACCTGAACAAGTCACCACTGAGTACGTAAGGAAAAATAAACACATGCTAAATGGATGAAACATTACTACTACATCTTTGCTAAATCATCTCTACCTCTAAACAGGTCAGAAGCTTAGAGATTTAAAGTGTTCTTACAGTAACTGCAAGAAAAAAAGGACAAAGGAGAAATTCCTTCTTTTTTAGATCATGACTATGAAGTCATGTGGTTATACAAATTCTGCATTTGTGTGCAAAGCATGAAACACATTGATCTTTATTCTCACCGCTTAGTCTTGTCAGTAAGCTGTAACCTTAGCACTACAGTAACGAGATATGCAATATCCTTTTGCTGTGGTCAAGACAAGAGGGAAGGAAGTCACAGGGAAGATAAAAAACCAAAATTGTTAGAACTGGGAAGTTACTTCCTTAAGTTTCACCATGGTGCCACTTTCGTTTTTTACATAAACATGGTGGCATAATTCAAGCTCGATAAATCAGAATTCTTAATATTTAAAATTTACCTTGACTTTCAATTATCACCATATTAACATCCAAAATAATTAAACACATATAGGAAAGGGTAATCTTTAAACTCCACTTTACTAGAATTTCTTGACACATTAACTTATTTTTTATAGAAAAGGGATAGTGCATCTATCTCAGTTTGCTTACAAGCTGAGAGATCGCTTCGAATTCTGCATTTCTTAACTGCAAACGGAATGTAGCCCTTATACAGGTTATAAATAAACTGGTTTTCAAGCATAGAGCCAGCCCCAACAATAATAGTACACTATTTAAAAAGACCCAAGGCAATGAATTCCATTTCCGATGGAAAAAAAGAACTGTGCAAACAAGCTTAAAACTACTTTTTTGTGTGCCAGTGTTATAAAATGTATCTTTTAATAAAACCTCAACCCAAATGCCAGCAACTTCAGAAAAGAATTTGGATGGGGGGAAGAAAAAGTTATTTCATTTAGGAAAAATAACCACTATCTTTTCCTAATCTTCGACATACGCAATTTAAATATATACGCAGCTATAACACTTTACACAGTTCCTATGTACTGGAGCAATAACAAAATCTAAATATAATTATATTTTTAAACACTGGGTCAAGGCTTTACATAAAAATACCATCCTACTTTTCCCACTAAGTTTCTAAAATAACGCATACTTTCCCCCCAAAATCTGTAGCCATCCAGGAATTTTTAGGAAACTTCTATGCATGATCTTAATTCCTAATCCCTGGTTCTTTGGGCTCAATGACAAAAGATCAAAATCACCCAAAAATGATGGTTCACTTGAAGTCAGACGAGGGACCCTGGCTCAGTTAGTCTCATAGGATGAAAGCAGTGCTGTTCACCTGGCTCCATGCAGGAGGGGCACGTGAAGGATCTCATCAACCAGTCATCTGTACAGTCCAGGTGATAGACATGTATGCCCACAGAAATGGAACTGGGTCCCCATAAACAAAGTCCATCATACAGATCACACACTGCAGATCCATCTTTTCCAGGGTCATCAACTCCCTTCGGCAGATGCTGGATAAGGCCTGTTCTTTGAGCTATCCTAATTTGTTCTTCAGTCAGCTGGGTTGCTAGGCAAGTCTGAGTAGGTGTTGGATGATAGACTGCAACTGGCGCTTGTTACTGATATGGCGGCAGTGGCGGCTCCTTATCCCGCTCTTCCCCTCGCCAAAGCTAGCTGATCAGACTGATACTCCTGAAGCAGAGAAATGTCATCCGAGGTGGGGGATTTCAGACAGTTCCCTATCTTCTGGGGCTGGAGTGTGTGATCTGTGCACTGTTCTGTCTGCTCCGAAACTGTTGCTACTTTATATTTTTATCCTACCAGGGAAAAAAGCAGTTTCATCTAGTTCAGTGCATATGCCTCAGATCCAGTGGATCACTAGATCAGAAAAAGGCTGTGTATGAAACTGAAAATTCTGAGAGAAAATTTCTTAAGGAAAGGACTTGTGACTGTCTCCCAAAGGACAGCAGGGATGATTGACAGTGCAGTGAGTTGTAGGGGTAGCATCCTGCTTGTACCTCCTTATGGTTTGTCCTGATGGGAAAATGTTCATAAAAATTTGAATTTGCCCATGTTGAAACATTACATATTATTTATTACAAAGGCTTTCTATGCCCAGGATTCACTAAAAGGCCAGGCATTGAGTGCAACTCAGCTTCAAGAATGTTTCCTCCCTACAGTTCTGGATTTAAACAGACATGACTCTTATAGCAGTGTTTATTATATCAATTTTCATTTCTTTAACCTCTTTTTTAAAAAATTTTGACATTTCATTTAAAAATTAGGCTGGGCACAGTAGCTCACACCTGTAATCCTAGCACTCTTGGAGGCCTAGGTGGGTGGATTGTGTGAGCTCACAGGTTCGAGACCAGTCTAAGCCAGAGCAAGACCCATCTCTAAAAATAGGTGGGTGTTGTGGTGGGTGTCTGTAGTCCCAGCTATGTGGGAGGCTGAGGTAAGAGAATTGCTTAAGCCCAAGAGTTTGAGATTGCTATGAGTTATGATACCATGACACTCTACCAAGGGTGACAAAGTGAGATTCTGTCTCAAAAAAATAATAAATTTTTAAAAATTCAATAAATAATGTTAGTAACTTTTGATTACTTGAGCTTCCCTCAAGAGGTTCAGTATCTCAGGAAGTCACAGCCAGTGACTTAAAAGTCTGGAGACTTGGGTGGTGCCTGTGGCTCAGTGAGTAGGGCGCCAGCCCCATATACCAAGGGTGGCAAGTTCAAGCCTAGCCCTGGCCAAACTGCAACAACAACAAACAACAACAAAAATAGCCGGGCATTGTGGCGGGTGCCTGTAGTCCCAGCTACTCAGGAGGCTGAGGCAAGAGAATCCCCTAAGCCCAGGAGTTGGAGGTTGCTGTGAGCTGTGTGATGCCATGGCACTCTACCATGGGCAATAAAGTGAAACTGTCTCTATTAAAAAAAAAAAAAATGTCTGGAGACTTTTAAGAAGAGTTAAAAGTCTGTGTCTTGGCTCTGTGCCCATAGCTCAGTGGTTAGGGCACCAGCCACATACTAGGATTGGCAGGTTTGAACTTGGCCCGGGCCTGCTAAACAACAATGACAAAATAGCTGGGTGCTGTGGCGGGCGCCTGTAGTCTCAGCTACTCGGGAGGCTGAGGCAAGAGGATCGCTTAAACCCCAGGAGTTTAGGGCTGCTGTGAGCTGTGATACCATGACACTCTACTGAGGACGACATAGCGAAACTCTGTCTCAAGAAAAAAAAGTCTGTCTTCAGCTTTTTAGTCAATATTCATAACACTTATTATTCATGAATGGTAAATAGAAATGGATTGGTGAGTCAACATTAACTCTTAAAATGGTAAAACAGTTTTACTTGCTTTGACAAGAATGGAAGACTCCAGATTAAACATACAAGAAGCAATAAATGAATCTAACTATTTCAAATGGATGACCCAACTACATTGAAGATAGGAGGAGTGGGGAAAACAACCCGATTAATTATCGAATGTGCATATCGGTTATACATCTTAAGGCTGATGACAAAAACTATAAATACTGAGTCAGTAAGTTTGGTTTTTATAATGGTATTGGTTAGCAATTCTGAAACTGCTTACTGCACATTCTTGTACTGAGCAAACAAAATGTATGATGGGTAAAAAGAGCCAAGATTCTCACCATCACAGGAAGGTATGTGAATATGCAAAGGAGAAGGCTAGAATTAACCCAGTGGTGTCAGATTGGAATTGGAGATGGCAGAATGAATTTTAAATATCCACATATATTTGAAATATATCTAAATGATGTAGAGAAATAAAGATAAATGTGAGAGCACATGTGTACACAATTCTGGGACAATTTGAATGCAGAAAATAATAGTAATCCATAGAATAAAATATAACATAAATGTGAAATTCAGTTCTGATGTAAATGAATAATTAACAAACAGAACAGAAGGAAAAGCTTTCTTTCCATCGAGTAGAAAACCCATATACAGTATATAAAAGGAATGATTAATGAGATTGCCAAGATACCATCTGGCAACCATGATAGCAATGATTCCTTAGGGTAAGAATCATTACATTGATGTTAAAACTAGTAGATTTGAAAATCCCTTTCCACAAGACCTTAGTTAAAATGTGTAAACATAGTAACCTATGGTAGAGAAATTTGGTTAAGTGATCAGAGTTAATATCACTCGTAACAGGACACAAAGGACATATGCCTCCTGATGTGACGAACTGGGCAGGACACACATCTCATCTCTGATATTCCTGCCTAAAATGTATAACTTGAATCTAAACACAAAAAAGTAGATAAACCCAAGTTGAGGGCCATTCTAAAAAATAGTACTCCCTGAAAATGGCAAGGTTGCGGAAAATAAAGACTGAAGAATTCTGTTAGATTAAAGGAGACTCAAAGAGATGACAAGTAAATGCTATGTGTGATTGTGGATTAAATCCTCAAGTAGGAAAACAAGAGATGTCTTTGTTTTTAAGAAATCAAACTAAGGTATAATGTAAAGGGACATTCATGCTTGTACCTTATAATCAGTACAAGGTAAAAATGGTGTGTATGGATGTGTATATAAGGGGAGGGGGAGAGAAAGAGAATGCGGATATAGTAAAATGCTAACATCTGGTGATCTGGACGAGGAGTGTACAGGAATTCTTTGTATTACATTTGCAGTTTGTCTATAAAGACTGGAGGCCAGGAGTTCAAGATAACCCGGGCAGTGTAGTGAGAGTGTGTCTCTATACAAAATTAAAAACTAACCAGGCCTGGTGAAGCATATGTGTAATCCAAGCTGTTAATGGAGGCTGAGGGAAGTGGATCCCTTGAGCTCGGGAGTTGGAGGCTGCAGTAAGCTGTGATTGTGTCACTAATCTCCAGCCTGGGTGGACCCTGTCTCAAACAGAGTAAACAGAAAACACCAATACAGCTGGTTGAGAGCTGTGTGCCAGGCTATCTACTGTTGGCTCTACTCTGCTTCCTAGCCCTCCATAGGAACATTCTTATTCTACCTCATTCCCTCATTATTTTGTTAACTCTGTTGCATTTTAGAAATTACACATTTGTAAAAATTTTAAATGATGGCTCGGTGCCTGTGTCTCAAGCAGCTAAGCCCAGACACATACACCTGAGCTGGCGAGTTCAAATCCAGTCTGGGCCCACCAAACAATGATGGCTGCAACCAAAAAAAGTAGCTGGGCGTTGTGGCGGGTCCTGTAGTCCCAGCTACTTGGGAGGAGGAGGCAGGAGAATCGCTTGAGCCCAGGAGTTGGAGGTTGCTGTAAGCTGTGATACTACAGCACTCTACTCAAGGTGACAGCTTGAGGCTCGTGTCTCTGGGGGGGAAAAAAAATTCAAATGATAAAAAAATCTGCCCCCAGCTCCCACTGTTAAGTGCTATAAACAGGCTGGTTGTCTCGAGAACAATTCTGGACCGCAACTGACTTCTCTCCCGTCTATGTCCACGCTACTAAACAAACACTGTTGAGCATCTTTTTTTTTTTTTTTTAACCTAATCTAGACATGGATGTCTTTCTCAGTATATATGTATAGCTCTGCCTCATTCTTTCCAGTTTTTTCTCTAAATGGATGATTCCATTGTCCCTGAATTCATTGTCCAAGACTGATAAACTGGGATAGCTGTTAGCTGACAGCATTATTCTGGTTTGGTTTGGTTTGGTTTTTTCTTTTTTCTTTTTTTGTTTAACCAAATAAGACTCTGTCAGGCATCAGGGTGCCCTGAGGACTCAGGGACAGGAGTGTGGAGACCTTTTCTCTAGTGAGAGGCTTTTAAGGTGACTCATCTCTATCTACTTCCATTTTCTCTGAATACTCAAAGGTGAAATCCCCAGAAGAGAAAACGTGTTTGGTCACTTAGAGCGGCATCTGTCCCTCAAACAGTCAGCTGTGGCCAGAGGAACAAGGACACAGAACTCTGTGCAGACATTGGCCCCTGGGTGGTCTTCCCAAAGAATGACGCCGTATTCTGTCTTCTCTTCCCAGGCTGCTCTAATTGATTCGTGTCTGGTCTGTTCCAGTCTCTTCATTAAGTCCATCTTAGCTACCTCTGTGATTCTCAAAAGTAGTCCCTACACTGGCAGCATGACCTGGGAACTTGTTAGCAAATGCAGAATATTAGGTCCCATCCTAGACTCACCGAGTCAAACAGTGGAGGTGGGCCCAGCACTCAGTTTATAGCAAATCCATTGGTTACTTTTGATACACACGAACATTTTAGAATCACAGCTCTACAGCATAAATCTGATCATATTATTCCCCCATTTTATTGCATTTACTTTGTTTTTATCTCTTTGAGACAGTGTCTTACCCTGTTGCCCTGGGTAGAGTGGCAGCGTGGCTCACAGCAATCTCAGTATCTTGGGCTCAAGCGATTCTCTTGCCTCACCCTCCCAAGTAGCTGGGCTTACAGTTACCTACCTGTCATGATGCCTAGCTAGTTCTATTATTTTGGAGAGATGGGGTCTCACTTTTGCTCAGGCAAGTCTCAGAACACCTGGGCTCAGACATTCCATCCTCCTTGGCCTCCTAGAGTGCTAGGATTACTGGCGTGCGCCACCTCAACCAGCTTACTCCCCCCATTTTATAAACTTAATGTCTCAGCCATGCGTACCCTTCCGAGTCCTCTCTCTGGCATAAAAGGTCTTTTGTGAGCTCACCTCAGGCTGCTTGTACAGCTATCCCCATCATACACACACCCTTTCTGCATCCTGTCACATAGAAATTTGCTGATCCCTTTCCCGGACTGTGTGAATTGTTTTTCCACCGCCTCCTTTGGGATGCCTCCCCCCAACCCCCCATGTACCTTCTACTTTACCTGAAACTGCCTTGGACTCTTTTAAGTATACTGGACTAACATAGATACATTACTTGTTGACAGTGTCTTCTTATCTTCCAGAATTCGCCCTGGGTAGAGAATTCATCCTCTAGATCAGGTGTCCAACCTGTAGGCTGATTTTGTGAACTTTTTTTGTTTTACTATTGTGTTGGGTATCACAGAAAGTAAGCACAGGCTTTTTTTTTTCCCCCCTTGGTAATCACCTTTCCTTAGTGATTGCCTGTGTAGCCCGAGGCAACTCTCCATCTCCCAACGTATGGCAGAGGGAAAAAGGTTGGACACCTTCACTCTTCTAGCCCCAGTGGAACCAGGGTTGGTTGAGGCTCTAGCCATCAGACTGGGCTGTCAGTAACTGTTTATCCACAAATTGGCATGCTGTTAATTCAGAAATTGTCCCTTCTGGTCCATGTAAATAGGATACCATTTACATTGACAGGGAAAAGTTGAAAGGTTCTCTGTTTGCAATGAGAAGAAAGAGTTTTTGGTGAATTATAAGCAAGAGAGAGGAAAAGGTTGGTTTTTTAAAAGGTACAGGTTTCTTCTTCCACTTGGCTGTACCTTGTCCTGACAACATTTAATGTGAAGTTCCTGTAGCCAGAGAAGAATCTTATTAGACTTTAATTCAAAGCACAAGGAATTTTGTTTCCTGTCTCCTTCTCTCTTCCTCTTTTTCATCTTTCTCCTCTCTTTTTCTTTTTCTTTTTCTTCACTTCCCTGTTCTCCTTCCCCTGCCCCCATCTCTCCTCCTCCTGCTCCTCCTTGAACATTTAACCGTTTTTGGCTTGACTAATCCCTATGGATAGAAACTTAGCTGAGCAGGATATTGATTACCAAATATGGCATTGCTGCTAAAGACGCTGGAGGAATGTGGCTTGAATTCTGAGCCTCTGGCCTCTGAATAAGCTGCCAAACAAATTAGGTCATTTTAAGTTCTAAGCTTTTTTTCTTTTTTTTCTTTTTTTTAAAATAAGGATGCTGGAACTTTGATTTGGAACATGATGTTGATGTTATTTTAGCTCAAAGGGGAGGAGGGGTATGAAGAGGAGGACAGAGTGGGGGAGACTCAGTTCAGCATCGTTTAGGACTTGAACCACCAGCCCAGGTTGTGTAAGAGGCAAGTTCCTTGTGGAGCCTTGGTTGATTGTGGGACACCAGTGTGAGAGCTGAGGGATAGAGTTCAGGTGTGTAGTCGCATCATCTGAATGCAGAAACTACAGGGGGACTACTTGGAGTTCCAGGGTACTTTACTCCCATTTCCTATAGTGGCCTGGGCCACGGTACTCAAATTGTGAGCTCGGATTTAGCAAAGTGGCTTCTTTCCAGAAAAGTTGGTCAGGTTTAAGTGCCAGCAACACCATTATGTGTGTGGTACAAGCCCTTCCACAGCACACCGTTAAGTGACAGCCAGGCCAGGGACTGTGGTTGTATCCCAGAAAAGACCACAGCTCTTCCAGTCCATATTTGGAAATATTTATTCTTTTAGCTTTGTTAGGGTGAAATGTTAAGTAGAAACTGATAGAAAATGCTACTTGTGAACGGAGCTTTGTTTTTTTCCTTACGTATGTTTTTGGCAAGATAACATTTAGGTTTTCCAAAACACACATATACACACACGACCAGTTAAAGACAGTCATGTTTTATAAAACTGACATCCTTTTCACTTTTGTGTTGGTAGGTCTGTGAGAGGAATCTTCCTCTGCCTTGTTCGCTATTATCAGTTGGTTTCCCTTCTCAGAATGAATGAACGAGTCTCACACATTCCACCCACTCCAGGACTTCTCTGGGTCAGGGGGCTGTGGAGTTGATTGTCCCTCCCTAAGGCCATCCAGTCACAGGCTTTTCTTTGCATCCTTGAAGCTGAGCCTTTTTGAAGTTCAGCTTCATTTTATCCTGGTGCACTGAGCAAGAGTTTCCTACTTTTTGTGGAAATTGCTCTTATGTTTCTTCAAGCTAATTAAGAAGAAAAGAGGGCACTGGTGTCCTCACATATGCAACGTGGACATTCAGAATACACCATACAGACAAACATGGGACCTAAGTCTTTTTTGGATGCATATTCATGCACTATTTTGGGATTATTTATTTATTTTTTGAGACAAGTTCTTGCTGTGTTGCCCAGGCTGGTCTCAAATTCCTGGGCTCAAGCCTCAGCTTTCTGAGTATTCTTGAGTAGCTGGGAGTACAGGTGTGCCACTGTGCCAGGCTTGGAATTTTTTTTTTTTTGACACTATTGTTGGGGTCCATAATTTATGGCATTGGTCATAATTATAACGGTTCTTCCATGTTTAGTAATGAGGGCATTCTTGAAAAGAAAGCTTCCAAAATAGACTTGTCTCGTCTTGCCCTAATCTTATGTTTCATGGTATTCACGATTTGTTTTATTGGATGTAGTTTGTTTTAGGTAAACTGTAAAAATAAGGTCAAAGGTAACTGAAATTACTATTGCTTTGGCTGATAATCCTTTGCCTTTCCATGTGACTGGTAAGCCAGCTATAATCAAAACCAAGACTACATCAAGACATTTATATTTTATATAAAATTATAAACTAACTGGAATCCAATGATACTGGTTAGATATTGGAATCTTAAAGTAGTTTAATTCCTGTCTTCTGATTAACATGGAGTATCTATATTAATTTTATAAAGCTCTGCAGTTAGAAAGGGACCAGAATCCTTTTCTCCATTGAAGTCTTCTGTTCTGGAAGGAGAAAAATAAGTAAAAGCATTGAAGAATTACATTTCTTAAAATCAGAGTCAGAGTCCAGGCTTCTTGAGATATTATTAGGTGTCACACTTCAGTATTACCTGGGTCTTCCCATTAATTCTTTTATTCTCACTGATAACCATTAATCCTCGTTTTTACCTGTGCTGGGAATTTGCTGATGTAAGTTTTAAAACTTGAGCTGGAGAACTTTCTGTGCAGTAAGAGGGATGGTTGAAAATTCATGTAACTAAACTTCTAAATTAAGTAAACCAAATCTTCCCGACTTCTTGACATGTTGTGTTGTGGGTTTTCGTATATTCTATGTAAGCGGTGAGGATGAGAGCTCTTGGTGACCTTTTTTCCTCCCCGATAGGCCAGTTCAGTGGTGTGTTTATTTTGTCACCATTCCGGTTTGACTCTAAGGAAATGAAAACATCTTCCATTTGTTCTTTATTTCCAAAGGGCATCCGCTTCGATCCTGAAATTCCGCAAACACTACGACTAGAGTTTGCTAAGGCAAACACGAAGATGGCCAAGAACAAACTAGTAGGGACTCCAAACCCCAGCACTCCTCTGCCCAACACTGTACCTCAGTTCATTGCCAGAGAGCCATGTAAGTTGATCTCCTTTTCATTTTGGGGGGGGAGAGAGGGGGAAGCAAACAAACCAGGAATTGTTCATGCATTGCATATGAGATTATTCCATGGGACATAGCGCTGCTTGACTCTTATTTTCCATTTCTGTGAAGACGATGCATATTCTTGCTGTCTCAACTCCAAAATTGGTGACTGGCTGTCCCAAAAGATAGTTCAGCTTGAGCCAAGATGTCCAACCTTTTGGCTTCTCCGTGCCATGTTAAAGAAAGAAGTATTGTTTGGGGCCACATATTAACTGTACAAGTTCTAATGAAAACTGGTAGCAAATAAAATGTTCCATGCATAATCTCTATGATATCCGCTACACAAATAAGCAAAAACGTCCTCATATAATCACCGTGTGGCCCGTGGGCCACGTGTTGAACAACCCTGGAACCTCTTGTGCTATATAGATTTCCTTGATGTGGTATTGACTGTTGTGTGCCCCTACATGCCTTGGGGTATAAACCCTTCTTTTTTCCCCTGTTCTTGGCAAAAGAGCCAGTTGCTAGCACTCACTTTACTCCATTTGTTGAAGAACATCGGTTCTGTGACTTGGGAAAAATGGCACATTGAAAGTGAAAAAAGCAGGGCGGTGCTTGTAGCTCAGTCGGCAAGGGCACCAGGGTGGCAGGTTCAAACCTCGCCTGGGTCTGCTGAGCAGCTGCGACCAAAAAAATAAAAATAGCCCGGCGTTGTGGCAGGCGTCCGTAGTCTCAGCTGCTTGGGAGGCTAAGGCAAGAGGATGGCTTAAACCCAAGAGTTGGAGGTTGCTGTGAGCTGCGATGCCACAGCTTGAGACCCTGTCTCCAAAATAAATAAAATAAAGTGAAAGAAGCAGTCTTAGAAAGTTGGTTGTATTTTTGAGAACAGTTTTAACTCTAGGGAAGAGGTGAACACATACAAAGAATGTATATATTGGGACAATCAGTCAAAAACTAACAACAGTGAAGCTATAAGGAATTTGGGGGTAAAGATAGTGGCTAATTGGCATAACAAATCTTTTACCCAACATTAATGAGCTTATTCTGTTTTATGTCCAGACTACAATTTCTGCCTTTCATTGATTAATTTTCTTTCTCAAGCTCAGTCAGTGGCAGAAGTGAGGCATGAGACAGGCCTTAACTTTTCCTTTCATTGAAGAGCCACATGTGATTTAATATGGCAGGGCATTCAAGGAAGCCCAAGTGGCTTGCAGTTACTTGGAATACTTCTGTCCTGCCGTTTTTGATCTTCTTTCCAAACCACATGATTGTGATGTTCTCCCTGCTTTTCCTGACAATACACTTCAACTCTTCTTCTTTAAATTGAAGGACACGTGGGCTCCTTGTTACTTGAGGTCATGTGCGTGTCACATTCAATCGCATACTGTGGAAGTCACAGTTCTTCTGTGGCTCGGTCGCTCAGGAGGAAGCTGGAAACTTGTAGATGAGTGTTTCTCCTCCAACATATTCTAAATTAAATTTCTAAAAAGCCAGAAAGTCATAATAGAAAATAATTATTTTGATGTTCCATGTTCTAGGGAAACTTGTTGTTTGTTTGGGAAGGGAATCTAAACAGAAGTTTTGGCTTATAGTGCATTTGTAATACAGGAGTTTATAAGGACATACCTTACGTCATCCTTACACCATCTAGCTTAATGCTTTGTATATATTTTAACAAATATTTATCATAGTGGATAAATTGATATTTCAGTTTGGCTCTTTGTGCAATTATACAAGCATTTGTGTCCCTCTTTCTTTCTGAGATTTCTTCTCTGTCAGTAAAGGCATCAGAAAAGAGTACTTTAGGATGCCTGATTTCAGGAAGGTAAGTCTGCTTTTTTTTAGTGAATTTGCCACCCTCGAGTCTCAGAGTGCTTTGAAATGATTAATTCAGAGGGAAGTATAATGCTAGTGATTCTTAACTTTATCCTTTCAGTTCTTTGCCAAACGCTTTGCTTTTTAGGACCACAACTTTTTCTGAATCTGTTATACCAGCTCTTTGAAGTAGGTAGCCAGGGAGGTGATACATACACACTGTGATGTACAAAAACAACGGAAATGAGCGAACTTGGCATTCACAAGCCCCTGAATTGACAGGAGAGTGTAGAAGTAGAGCTTAGGGCTCTTCTCTGGCCAGCTTTGCTCATCTCCCTTCCTTGTGTACTGAATAGCTCAGAAGTGGCCAGATGGCTTCCATGGCACAGCCAAAACTTGCCTGGCTGCTCACAGCAAAACAAACTTGAAGCAAAAAAAGATACACAAATCAGCTGGCGTTCTTCTTTCTTCCTTTGTGACTCCACACCATTCTCTCGTTCCTTTTCTCTCCCCCCACCCAACTCCCTGCTCTCTTCTCTCCTTCCCATCTTTCCCGCTCCTTTCCTTTCTCTAATATAAAATAAACTTATACTTTTATATTCTAAGAACAATAAAAAATAAAAATCTGCCAAGCATGGTGGCTTGTGCCTGCAATCTCAGTGTTTTGGGAGGTTAAAGCAGAAGGATTACTTAAAACCAAGAGGTTAAGACCAACCTAGGCAACTTGGTGACACCTCATCTCTGTAATAAAAACAAAATTAGTCAAGATACGGTGGCGTGGGCCTGGCGTCCCAACTCCTTGGACTCTGAGACAAGAGGATTGCTCAAGCCCAGGAGTTCCAGGTTATAGTAAGCTATGAGAATAATTTGTTTGTGACACTGCACTTCAAATCCAAGCAGCCAGCAGCATATTCTTGAGAAAGTAATACTTAGCATGATTTCTCTTAATATAGCTCTTTTTTATGATACAAGGGCCGTAATGACACCAACTCCACTATGACTCAGGTCACCTTTATCATCTATTCTCATTCCCTCTGAGAACTTCCTTCACATACACAGAGTTATTGCTTTCCTCGTAACACACTGCAGACCATGAATACCGTGGTGGGGCTACACTGGTAAATCCAGTTGCGTAACCCGTAATTGGTGCTCAGGGTTGTCAGTTTAACCACCTAGACAGTGTGGACTATGATGGAGACAGAATTTGGGGATTGGAAAGGCCCTGAAGGCTTCTCTATTGTAGGCCACGGGGGGGGGGGGTTATTAATATTTTTTATCAATGTTTTATATGATAGTGACTGAAAAGCACTGGTATCGCTAGAGGAAGACTGTTCTGTGATTTTATTTATATTATAAATATATATTAATATATATTAAATACAAATTTATTATATATTTCTATA